CATTTGTCGACGATGTTTGAGTGGAACTAAATAAAGCCATGTTAAGAGTACAATATGAATAACAATGAAAATACTAATTGCACTCATAAAAACCCATTGATCTATATATGCAAGCCACATATCTTGTGTTACACGTAAATCAGGTATTGATAAATATATGAGGCTACCCAGCATTGCATGCCATATGCAAAGAATAATAAGGATAAATATGCACATTATTGCATACTTATCCATTGATGTTAAATATGAAATAGTCGGCTAAAACAACAAAAATCATTTCAATGAAACATAAATAATAAAAGAATCAGTGAATGCATAGACATACAAGTGATCGATTTACTATCCAACGAAATGTAATTGAAGTTAATAGAAGTGTACATGATATTTGAATTCGATTTCCTGTAGAACTATTAATTGAAAATATTATTTAAGAAAAATATTCATTAAGAACCACTAACTGTGGTGGAATGGAAAATATACAAAAAGATACCAAAGTTATCAATAAAATAAGACAATATCCATTCCAATAGAAATAGTTCGAATGACGAGCTATACAAAAATAAAAATAAAATTTATTTATTTTTTACTCTATTTTATATACAAAACAAACCAGCATGACAAGTTACTGTTAAAATCGAACGTTTTCTATTTTCATTATCGTTTGTATTGTTCAATTGATTATTTTCATCATTTTCTTCATTTTCATCAATATCTTCAAAAATGAACTCTTTAATAAATCTTTGTTGAGTATCAACATGTTCATATAAAGACCATTCTTGTTGATCAACAAATGCTTCTCGATTTACTCCACTTAAACGATTAGGATCAGCTATTAAAACAACTTTATCATCATAAAACATTGATGCAATAGAAATTGATAAATCTTGAACATCAGATGGAAAATGATGTAATTCAAGTTTTTCCCAAAATAAACCTTTGATATCACGATGTTCACATATATATATTTGATTATCTTCTTTTGATTTTTTAGCACTATATCTTATTTGTTCTTTTAAATCACCAAAAGTATTTTCAATATAGAGTTGTGGATGCCAATTAGATTGTGCATAATTAAGAAGTGAAATAGGTTTTCCATCAGTTAAATGTGTTTGATCATCAGTTGAAAGATATAATGATAATTTATTAAATTCCACTGGCCAACGAGCTTCAATCGATGCATGTGCTTGATATTTTTCATTTAATGTATCAATTTCACCTAGATTAATAATGAAAAAAACAAAGATGAGTTGAAATATTTTTCTAATGAATAACCTATTCGAAGAAAGATAACACGAATGTAAATTTCCATCGGTTTATTCAATGATAAATCGGAAACTTGTTTTTTGAAATTTGCAAACACTTTAAAAATGATGAATAGATGTGTTTTAGTGATTTAGAACTTTTATCAAACCTGATAGTCCTTTTCTGATGGTTGACATGTCATACACGTATGAGTAATTTATTCGAATGTTTTTTTGTTTCTGCCTTTAATACTACTGTGCAGGTGTATCGATATAAATGTTGATGTGTTGGACATTCTTGAAACATTTTAGTTCTAATCGTCGATGTTTGGTCTTGTGACAAAAAGTGCAAATGCGTAATAATATTTAAATGTATGCACAGAGAGTTGTCAGATTTATTTTTATGTCGGAGAAAAATTCTTAATTCTGATATATAAAATTCGACATGTTTATTTGCAGTAGAAAGGAAAAAATTTATTTTGTTTCATTTTTATTCTTTTATCTATTTAAAATAAATATATTGACCTTTTCTAATCTTTATTATCGGTCATTATCAACATATTGTTAAACAACAATAAATCTATCATCTAAATACATGAATACCACAATAATAATAACAGCCTAAACCAATAAATCGTAGTATAACTACGTTTTCTTGAAATAAAACTCAAGTCTAAACAACTGTTATAATTAAAATGACAAAAAATAAATGAACAAAATATAACTTGATATTTCATTATTAAATGAAAAATCGCATATATAAATATTCATTTTCAGTAGAATAAAAATATGTTCATTTATGTTTATTTTCTTCATTAGAAAATATGTTATATTTCTTTTACGTTCTTTGGATCATCATCCATTTTTTTCGCTTTGACTGATCATTAAATTAATTAGTGCTTTAAAAATATAAACATCGAAAGTTGATGTGCCTTTTTTATATCAGAATAATCATCACTTTGACGAATAGTTTAACAGTATATGAATTAGATATATGCTTTAAGGAGCTCATTAAGTATATGCCAATGAAAATTTTATATAAAAAGATCACCTTCGATACATTTGTGTTATATAGAAACGTGTAAAAATTTCACATCAATGACTTTTACGTACTTTTCAGAAGATCGACATTGTTTTTTTCTCAGTTTCTTATTTTCCTAGAATTTCAATGATTTAGTCGCTGAATAATGTTTTATATCAGTAACTATCACATTTTTTTAATTATAAGATTGAATACTTGTAGTTCTGCTTACGTAAAATATATATTGCAGAGATGGGACCAATACCAGTATGTCTTATTGATGTTATTTGCTCTTAATATCTCATAGAGAATGTGTAATGAAGCTTTGTTGAAAGTTGGCCATGTCAATTATTACTATACATAGAAGGAATACTACGACAATTTATCAGTCTATTGTCGGCATGAATTTCAGATTGGTCGTGAAAACCTCAGACCTGTTTCACCTCTGACATTTTGTATTTTCTTGCAATGCTATCATAATTTATCAAAAAAACAAATAAACAATTCATTAAAATTTATAGAAGGTCCTATGATAGACAATGAATTTATGTCTTTCAGTCTAATTTTTATTTCACATTACATTTACTTTTAGGACTGGTACAAATGTGTAAACAAAAAATCTTTCGTTGCATTTTACTTCATCGACTCTTTCTGCTTCTCTTCTTTTAATATCTTTGTCTGTCATGTTTCTACGATGTTTGAGTGTAACAAAAAATCCGTCAGATAAGCAATATCACATGAATACCAACGAAAATACCCATACCAATGCAGAAAGCATATCGATCTAAACTTGTAAACCATGTTTTCGATGTGATAACTGAATCATTTGTATTTGTCATATATGAGAAAACCAATGATAGGATGTCAAATACAACGAACAATAAGGTTGAATATGCACATTATTGCATATTTATCCATTGATGTTAAATATGAAATAGTCGGCTAAAACAACAAAAATCATTTCAATGAAACATAAATAATAAAACTCTATTTTATATACAAAACAAACCAGCGTGACAAGTCACTGTTAAAATCGAATGTTTTCTATTTTCATTATCGTTTGTATTGTTCAATTGATTATTTTCATCATTTTCTTCATCTTCATCAATATCTTCAAAAATGAACTCTTTAATAAATCTTTGTTGAGTATCAACATGTTCATATAAAGACCATTCTTGTTGATCAACAAATGCTTCTCGATTTACTCCATTTAAACGATTAGGATCAGCTATTAAAACAACTCTATCATCATAAAACATTGATGCATTAGAAATTGATAAATCTTGAACATCAGATGGAAAATGATGTAATTCAAGTTTTTCCCAAAATAAACCTTTGATATCACGATGTTCACATATATATATATTTGATTATCTTCTTTTGATTTTTTAGCACTATATCTTATTTGTTCTTTTAAATCACCAAAAGTATTTTC